GGTGATACACCTGCCCATTACTACCCCTGTACAAGCTGGTGATACACCTGCCCATTACTACACCTGTACAAGCTGGTGATACACCTGCCCATTACTACACCTGTACAAGCTGGTGATACACCTGCCCATTACTACACCTGTATAAGCTGGTGATATATATACACACACACACACACACACACACACACACACACACACACACACATACGAATATAACACACAGACAGGTTCATGTGGTTGTTATACTTCGTCTAAACACCGATCTATACATTTTTTATAGGCGATATGATTGCTGGGTGCCAGACATAGTGGTTCCAGTCAGCACCAGTGCTGCTGCTAAGAATATCTTGTTAGTGACAGAGGTCAAAGGAGAACGGCAGACTCGTTAAAGCTAACAGGAAGGCCATCAGTGCAAAAATGATAGCTTAGTAGATCAGCAGTTTGCAGAAAGGCATCTCAGAAATAGTCAGGGGGTTATGTTCCACACCTGCCCCTTGTTAGCCCTGGGGGTCCATAGATGGACCAACTGAAGTGGTCACTGGATGTTACTATAATATTGGGGTTCTCATGATAGCTATATGTACTTTAGTAATATCAAGACTGAGGGGCTGGCAAGATGCACGAGAGAGAGAGCGAGACAGACAGGCAAGCAAGAAGGAATGGTCTGATCACATCTGACTGATGAGAGTTACCTTTGTCTGCACCGCCGAATGCCTCTGTGTCCTCATTTCCTGAATGAGCCGGAACACGTTGAAGTCTTCTGGAATCTTCTACAAAGGGTGAGAGCAACCGCGATGACGAGAAGCCCTCAGGGACCATGCAATGCAGTGTGTCCTTCATACTGAAACCCAGGGTGCCAGAAGTCTAAAAATATCCCAAGAGTAGAACCTATGGTCCGTCTTGCCTTTGACAGACAAGAGGTCCACACAGTGCCCCCTGGAGGGCACCAGTCACCCTGCATTGTCATCTCCCACCATCCCTATATACTGTAAGTTGCATGCTGTTGAACGTAAGGCTAATGCCCTCTAGAGGAAGCTGCTGTTTCCTCCCAAGGACTCACAGGGCCACCTCCCACAACGCCTACAGACCCTACCTACCCCTGCAGAGGCAAAGAGGCCCCTGCTTAGCTCTCAGCAGTTTTTTTCGTTCTGTTTCCTGCATGAAAGCAGTGTGTGCGTGTGCATGTGTGTTTATGTTTGCACGTGTGTCAGAGTGCGCGCATCTCACCCCAGCTTTGAGCAGGTTCCACGTGTAATCGATGGCACAGATGGCACCAGTCCTCCCGCAGCCCGCGCTGGGAAAGGAGGCAGTACGGTCTAGGTCAGGTCACGATCACATGCCGCGACAGATATGCCGCCGTGCTGTCAGCGCATTTGGTCGCAACTGTGTTCTGTCCATCGTAAACACGGTGCCACTCGCTCATGACCACGTTCCCCTAGTCGTGACGGCTGCCCACCCACTCGCACCCGCATTCACTCATTAGCAACCCAGCTCGCAGGAATCAGGGCTCCATAAAGGGACTGCGTGTGCGTGCGAGCGTGCGTGCGAGCGTGCGTGCGAGCGTGCGTGCGAGCGTGCGTGCGAGCGTGCGTGCGAGCGTGCCCTCGCTTTCGGCTCCGGGCCGTCGCCGGGCTAGCAGCCTCGGTGCACATGTCTTCAATCGAGCGGTAATGGCTACGTTCGGCGCCGGCTCCGGGCCACTTCCTGCCACTAATTAAATCGAAAATAAAGTCAAGCGAAGATGAAAAGGCTTAACTGGTCATTGAGAGTGCCTCCCCCACCACCGACAATGGGCCCCAGGACACAGACATGACATCATCACGCCCAGACAGTGGCTCGCACCCCTACTGCTGCCCCCCGCTCCCCGTCCCCCACGCCTCCACACTGTGGGATGCTTAGCGGAGGTACAGGAACACCACGCCCACGACCTGGGCTAACAGGAAGCATTTAGCACATGCAGCCTGAGGAAACATCTCAGGTTTCTAAAGACCAGCTATGGCCTCTCGATGAACAGAATACACGTGATCGCCACCCACACGCACACATACACACACACAGGAAAAGGACACATGTGAACACGTGGGTCAGTGGCCTCGAATGTGTTAAGGTGTGTGTGTGTGTGTGTGTGTGTGTGTGTGTGTGTCCCCACATGCCTGCTTCCCCGTGAGCCTCACCTGCAGTGGATGCAGATGGGCACATCCTCGTGCTCCTGGTGCTCCCTCATGAGGGCGATCATGTCCAGGATGGAGTCGAACGACGATGGCACGTCGTGGTCGGGCCAGTTGATGTAGTGGAACTGCGTGAGTCGACGCGTCTCCTAGTGGACAGGGTGTGTCAAGGGACAAAGCCGATTGGCTGACGGGCTCAATGGAAAACACACAGAACAAAAAAAAAACAAAAACAAAAAAAAGAACACTACGATAAACTTACATTCTGGTATTCTGCCGTCAGAGTTCGGAGGATGTAGTCTGTTCTGGGTTGTTCTGATTCCTGGAACAGATTAGTAGTAAAGTCATTCAAGTCAGCAGAGCCAGTCTTATGCAGCATCCAGCCAGTAACTATGCTTAACAGCACTATGCATTCTGGGAAGAGCAGGCGACACGGCGATGAACAGGGGGGGCGATGAACAGGGGGGGGCGATGAACAGGGGGGGCGAGCAGCCCACTCACACACGAGATCCTGAAGGGCCCGAGCCTCAGGGGCGGGTCATCAAGTGTCGGAAAGTACCGCTCACACTTTTTCTGTGAACGGCAGTAACAAACAAAAAACAAAATCAGCACCAGTGTTCATGAGCATCACGGAAGTTTGGACGGGATCAGGTTAGGACAGTATGCAACACCTCATGAACACACACACACACACACACGCACACACACACACACACACACACACACACGCACACACGCACACACATGGGGGTTACGTAAGCATGCGCACGCACACACACGCCGCATTCTTCAAACTGTTGGTGTTTCACATGTCCTCCCCCCGGGGCGGGGAGCGGACAGGGACGGAACGTTCTGCAGCCTCAGGTGGAGAGACGACTCTATTCACGGGGCAGAAGCCGAGAAACACTCACCCTTCCCATCTCGAATTCACGACATGCCATCACGATGACCTGCAGACCATGGGGGATGGGGGGCAGGGGGGGAGAGAGGCGCCGAGCTATTTAATATCCATAGGTAACTGGCAAGGATCAGCAAACGACCAACAGGTTCAGCCTCGCAGGTCACGCCGGCGTGACCCACGCGCTCGGATCGGCGCCTCGTGCAAAGCGAGGTGAGCGTACCGCCAAGGCTCGTGCTTACCAGATGCCAAAAAGAGGAACGAACGGATGAAGAAACAAAGTGATGCGAACATAACCGACGAGTACACACACAAAGTATATAGTGCAAACATACACACAAAACAACAAGTAGCATGCATATATACACAAAAAGTATATCTGTGTATACATGCACGAACAAAATGTCTGTGTCCTCCTGAGATCCAGCAATTCACTTTCATCTTCTGTAAAGGGTACTGTGCTTTTACTGAAATCTCTCATACTATGTATTTTAATAAGGCCTGTTGTTCCTTAAAGAGGACAGATATAGCTTTAAGATGACATCACATGCCACCACAACTTTTTCCCTGGATCTCAGAAGAGCATACATACAGAAATTATATGACTAATGTAGGCTGGCGCTCTGCATGTGGCAAAGAGTAGATTTGGGTATGGATGGTAGGGACATGTCCCTACCAATATTGTGGGAGTGCTGTGCGTGTTTATTGTGGGGGTGGGGGTTCAGGGCTGATTTGGTTCCTACCAATATTTAAAACCTATGCTCTTGGTATGTGAAGTGCTAATGGCTAACGTAGGCTACTGCACTGTATGTGGAGCTATAATGGCTAATGTGGGCTGTTGCTCTGTATGTGGAGGGCTAATGGCTAACGTGGGCTGTTGCTCTGTATGTGGAGCGCTAATGGCTAACGTGGGCTGTTGCTCTGTATGTGGAGGGCTAATGGCTAACATAGGCCATTGCTCTGTATGTGGAGCACTAATGGCTAACGTGGGCTGTTGCTCTGTATGTGGAGGGCTAATGGCTAACATAGGCCATTGCTCTGTATGTGGAGCGCTAATGGCTAACGTGGGCTGTTGCTCTGTATGTGGAGGGCTAATGGCTAACATAGGCCATTGCTCTGTATATGGAGCGCTAATGGCTAACGTAGGCCGTCGCTCTGTAGTTGAAGCACTAATGGCTAAAATAGGCTAACCCACCGACACGTTATACTCCCAGATCATCCTCCAGAAGTCCACCACTGTGTTGGCCAGGGGCCCCTGGGTGGCAATGTAGGCCTCTGCTTCATCGACCCCCTGTAAGGAAGAGGAGGTCAGCAGGAAGGCGTGAAGACACATGCAGTGCACAGCCATGGTCCACCCACCAACCCCACCCCAATGCCGTCGACTCACCTGAAACATGCTAGACAGAGAAACATACACCTCTTCCTTGTATTTCAAACTATACTCTCAGCCGGGAAAGTGATATTTTACCAACCAAATCCGAATCCGGAGTTCCAAGATTATTATTTTATTAACAAAATAATAATAATAATAATAATAATAATAATAATAATAAAGTAGCGTAGCCATGCCCTGCAAGAGTGACCGGCCATCTGCGACTCCCTGCCCGACAGAGCTTCCTCGCTACGCAGATGTCAAGCGGAGCTCTTCATTAATTATGCTCAATTGAGATGTTGATTCCATGCGGCGTATAATTTCAAATCATATTACAAAATGAGCCTGGGTGCTGAGGGATTAAAGTAAACCAAAATAAAGATGACCTTCTTCCACGTGTACAGAGGCATAGATTGAAATGTTGGGCCCCCTGACAAAATGTCACTTTGGGCGCCCACCCAGCCAATTTTTTGTAGAATTTTATGTATCCAAGGGTCCCTGTCACATGGTAGGGCTCCCTGAATCTGTCAGGGATCTCGTACGCACACGTGCTAAAATAAGACAGCCTAGTCATTTGTGAAACCTAAAGGTGAATAAAACTAGACTGACATAAGTCCATAAGTCTAACAATTCAAGGGCTGTGAGAGAATAACTGTTGGTCAACTCAAATAATGGACATTATCATGATCATCAAAAGGCAAAAACAAAGGCATTTTTACCGTTACAGGTATTCCACCACAAATTGGGAATAGCGCAGTTGTACAAATCATAGAGGGTATTCAGCTTCGGTTCATTGCATTAGCGATGAGATTCATCCAGTCAGCGAGTCAATCAAGGCTCATTTAGAGCTAATTTGGATGGGCAGACTCTGGTCAGGACCTGGTTAAGCTCTGGACTCTAAACGGTTATAGGGGCTCTTGTGTGATTCATTGCTTGCTCTGATTTTAAGGCTATGTTAGGGAACCTGACTGTAATCACAAAGACTCAGCCACTCTGGGGGACTAAAGACAGACAAGCGTGACAGTGAGAGAGAGACAGCACAGAGAACAAGTGCGGTCGTGGTAAGCGCATGCCCATCCACACAGCCCACTTCCGCTGTGCAGACAAATAAAAATACCCACCCCCCACCCACATGCTTGTAACATGCAGGAGCTGACACAAGCCCTGGGGATTTCTGTACCTTTATGAAGTTGGCGTTGATGTAGTCCGTGTCCTGATTAGAAGTTTGCAACAAAAGCTTCACTCGGCTGTGATCAACTGGGGTGACACAATGGGGGGGCGGGGGGGGTAACAAAAATTACAGCTGCTTCCCCAAACCCAAGCTGTATTACAGCTCCTCAGAATTTTAGAAAAAGAGTGACATGGCGTTCAGATGCCCTGGGGGCGCCGGGCTTGGGGCCGGTTCAGGGCCCTGAAGTTACTTACATGGCAGTATGTCTTTGTATCGGTTCTTCTTCACATTCTCCTCTCTCTCTCCAACGCTGGTGGGGTAGATCTTCTCCGTCCTGTACTTTGTCGACAGCCTGCGCAGCCTCTGTGTGAAAAAGGGGCAAGTTCAAGGTCAAAGGTGAAAAAAGACACGGTCTTTCCAACCTGCCTACCGAGATGGAGACGGCTGGCTTCCCCTTCTGACATCTTGCAGTAGTTCTGAGGGTTTTTAAGGATTGTTACATTTTGCATGTTTAGATCTGGTACATGATAACCTTACAGTACAAGACATTTTCACAAATATCTCCCAATTCAAAAAACACTGGATGAATTGCAAATTAGTCCTGTGATGGACTGAGATAGGCTCTCATGCACTGTTATCCTAAACTGCAGGGTTTCCCAAACTGGTCCTAGGGGACCCCCAGACAGCCCACGTTTTTCCTTACCCAAGACAGTCCATATTTTTGCTCCTCCCAGCTCCCAGGAGCAAAAACATGGGCTGTCTGGGCGTTCCTGAGGACCGGGTTGGGAAACTCTGCTATACTGAATAAGCGGCTAGACGGGTGGAATCACAAATTACTCTGCAAGATATAGATATATTACAACTGAACTTCAGTCACTCAGGTAACCAGCCATGGGTTCAATCAAAGCAGCTGAACAGACCACTGCGCTGATGAGTTTATGAAAAGAACAGCTCCCAAATTTAAGGTGAGGGTCCACCACACCACACAAGGAGAGATGCTGGAGGGCCGGCTGCCCTCTCTCCCCACCTCAACAGCCCAGTCGCCACTGGTTTTAAGTTTAACCACATGCAGCATTCCAACCAACAAGACCCAAAAAATATAAAAGAACAAAGGGAAATGCTCATTCCACAGCTGTTCCATATCGCTTCATCTTTCACCTTAGTCTGCATTGTCGTAACAGCCATTAACAAGTGTATTCTTATGTTTTATAGTCCCCCGAATGGCCTAATTTCCTGAACTATATGCAGTGTGAAAAATGCATCCTGTTTAGGGCTGCGTGTTATCGCACTGCGATTATAAGGTGCATGTGCAAAAAAAATAAAAATCACCAGGGCTTTAGCTGACAGGCGTAACTGTCCGGAGGCCGGCTCTTCAGCACCGCATGGATGTTCACTTACGGCCATATTTGGCAAGCAAATTAGTAACCCTAAAATGTTAATGAGAGGCGGATTATGATGTCCAAAAGTTAGTGATCTGTATATATTCAGCATATCCTTATGTTTAACGATAGTGTTGGACTTTAAACTGCAAACAGAACCTCCACAGCACCAGCATCTTCTGATCTGGTTCATGCACAGTATCTGCTCTTTCAGAAGATGTGACTGCTGGGCTCTTTCTTTCTTCACCGCCACATTAGTGCTTATCGCTTCCCATGATTTACCAAAACAGTATCACGTGGCGTGCTCTGCTAACCAAATTTAATAAGCAAAGATACCCCGAATTTATACAGATTACTAACTTATGGGAGTCACAATACGCCTCTCATCAATATTTTAGCCATACTACTAATCTGCTTAAATTGTTTGTGTAACTAAACGTCCGTATAGTACTGAAAAGCCGGTGTCCGGACAAACATTTACTCCCATCATCTACAGTCCTGGTGATTATGCGCATGTGTCACTTAATCACGATTATATCGCCGTGTGATATCGAGCAGCACTAATCCTGTTAAAACAATTCACTGCCTTTGAATTAAGCCTGAAAGTAGGACCAGAACGGAAGGAGCCGGTGTCAGTTTCCCAGTTTAAATGGCCCCGTTGGGCAGTGAGGGGTACAAATGACCCAGCCAATCAGGGGCCAGAGTACGGCCTGATTCTCTGCAGCAGTCAGTATGGGCCGTAAGGCGGCGGCCGTATCACCAAGTAGCAATTCTTCATTTTAAAAAGGGTAGGAAACAGCCCAAGACAGAATTAGAGAATCTGCTGCTAATTTAGTTATAGCCTTTCTGGGCTGAGACTATGACTGTCACTGCACAAGGAGACAAAGGACAGGGCTAGATAAAGCTGAATATCTGAGCACTATGAGGACTTGTGTGTCGTCCAAGCACACACACATACACCAGTCAGAACATCACGTCCAAATTAGAGGCTGTTTAAATAGTGAATATTAATCTATCACTACAGCCAGCACATAGATTCGCATTTTTATAGAAGATTAAATTCTACCAGGGCTGTATTCTGTCTGGGGGGGACCCCAGGCTGCTCCGTGAGTCACACGGTTGCCTCTGAAGGGCCAGACTAGGGGAGGAGCCATCTGAGGGCTTGGGGGGGGCAAAGAGCAGATGAGTGGGGCTTCCTGCAAGGAGGGGGCTCTTTTGTATATCCTCTCCTGAGACGTTGTGGTCGTCATGTCGCTGGGCTGGGCAGTGGCCCGTCCTGATGGGGGGGGGGGGGGGGCGGTGGTAGTGCATGTGAGAGAGCCCTGCAGCACTTCCTCGTCTGGCAGCACCGATGCGAAACAAAGGGAAGGAGAGAGATCATGGGGGGAGGGGGGGGCAAGCGGACCAGGACTGTCCCAGATTGGCCAGTATCGCTAGCTCACTGCACTGTGATTGGCCAGCCTGCTCCCGGGTGTCCCCATCTAAAGCCTTACTAAAACACTGCCTTCCCAAATCACATGCCTACCCCCCCTCAGCTTCCTCCCCCTGTAAGTTCACAGCGTGACGGCGTCAGAGGGGCCGACGGACTTCCGTGTGACTCAGACCCGTCGGGCCTCACGCACAGCAGCAGGTCCTGTTTCCCCACCTCATGGGTGAGCTTTCAGGCTCCTTCAGAGCGCAGCCTCCTTAGATACCGCACCGGCACTTGGCTTTATGCAGAACTCATTTTTAAAAGTGAAAATCGCATCTAAAACTGGAAAGCAAACTTTTAACGCCTTGAGTCATGGTGGCACATGTGGTCATGCTTTACCCAATGCTGATACACTCCCCCCCCCAGTCCGCTGTGGGTGAAGCTGCACCACTTCAGTAGCGTGATACAGCTTCAGCATGAGTCTCGGGGTCCCAGAGCAGCCACGCTCTATGGAAACTACCCCCACCCCCACCACCAACCCTTGGGTGCAAATTTCCTTTTCAGAGCAGCTTAAATAAAGCACAGAGTGGGTCAAGAGAGCATTCCGGCTCAGATTCCCCAAGCCTACGCATCATCCCTCGAAATCGGACAGCGTAAACAAACCCCCCCGGTACAGGGGTCCATCAGGGACCCTCAAAACGCCCCGCCCCTGAGGAGACACCGTGGCCCCCTCCCTGGAAGACGGCCTCCTGCCCATCTGCGTTACGCCAGTCCATCCGTTAGCAAAGCGCCAATACGACATCGACGTGCACCAACCGGCACAAGCAGCACTCCGGTACACTGGCGACCCCATGCTTGGGAAACGTACATTTCCATGGAAACCGTCAGTGGCCAGGATGTGGCGAGGGGTGTAGGTGGCGGCGGTGCCCCCGGGTGAAAGGCGAGGCGGCACAGGCACAGGCAAACAGGCGCAGAAATAGGTCACCCTCCAGAGTGCGCTCTCCTACATCACAGCACATTGACACACTGCTGCAAGCGTTCGCGCACACAAGCACAAACGGGACTGCCAGGGTCCGGTTCAGCCCCCACCCATGGGAACATAATGAACATGGGTAACTTAAGCGTGGGTAGGAGACCCAAAAAGAAAATCCCCCAAGGTTCTCTTGGAATGCTGAGAGGCGGCTGGAAGGCCCGCCCACCTCTAAGCCCCGCCCACCACATAACCACACCCACTCCACTACCTTCGACAGACAGTCATGTGACCACCTCTCTCTGACCTTGCATGTCAGGACAATCAGTGCCTTACTTTTTTTTTTTATTTTGGCATCCTGTGCCTTTACTTTCAGGCAGAAAAGGAGCTTTCTCAGTAACCGGGTGACTGGTTTAGGCACCTTATCTAATAGCTGCTCCGCTACATCTGTGTCACCACCAGCCTATGCGGAGAAAAAAGAAATCAAAGAGCAGCTTTCTGCGCCTGATCTGCTGGGGCCGTCCACCATCTCAGGGGACACGCCACCGCTCACATGCCAACACGCCCACACGTGACTCGAATCCCTCTTTGCAGACACTCGGCTGATCTTACCGAACCATTATCTACGTTATCGTATAATCCTCTTACCCAAACACATTTAAAATTTTGCTTTAATCATTTATCCAGAACATTTACAGGTTTTGAGAGATATTTATTCAAAGGTACAACAGCTTGTTTCTCTTATGGCACCAAGTGCATTGGCCTGTATCAGTTGATCACACAAAATGGGTCAGTATGTCAATTACAGCATCACCACTCACACCAGTAGTCGGAGTTTCAATCAGATCACCACAGGTGATCGGGATCTCGGTCAGAACCGCAGCCCACCTCTGCCTCGGACCCGAGCTCCAGCGCTATACAGCAATGCGCCCACAGTGGGGATTGAACCACAGGTGAGTCAGCTCACTCCTACGTTGAGGTGAGAAACCATAAGCAGTTTCCACAGCAGGCCAGTGAGCCACCTTATGCGAGCCGATCCAAGCATTTTTAGAAAGGGACTGTCACCGCAGCGGGACGGCACAGCCCAGAGAAAACAGCGGGAGATTTTGAGAAAAGGGATCAGCCTCGTTGGGCAACACAAGCGCGCGGTAGCCCGAGTTCTGGGAGGAAAGGAAAGCAGCGTCAGACACAGGGATCTGACCCCAACTTCCCAGGCCAGGAAGCCCGAGGTCACATGGTCACAGTGCATGGGTCCTATATCCAACCGTGCCACGTCATTTCTGCCAAAACTCCACACCAAGCCGGCCCACAACACAGTGTAACCAATCCCTCAACTTGGGACGTATCTGATACGGTCATACCATCCAAGCATTATCCTGCGCTACATTTGGAAATCCTGGTGATAAAATTCACTGTCTCCACAATAAATTTTCGCCAAACAGCACCACAGCATCCTGGCTAATCTTGTCATCAAGATTTCAAAATATTGCAGAATACTAAAATGATGAGGTAAACTATATTACTATAATACTTACTACAATAACCCTATTGGAACCTTTCTCTTTCTCCATTTGCCTCTTGTGGCAAATAAAGGAAAACCCAG